CTTAAGAACTTACAGGTTTTTATTGGATTTAATTACAGTTTTTGGATTTGGTTACTAATCCAAAAATGAGCTTATTAAATAAATTTATTACTACTAAAATGTTGACTTCAAATACAGGGGATATTACTTTTAATTAATGTGTACTTATAAAAGATGTAAACATGTAATTATTTTTTTAATGTTTTGAATTTAGAGTTTTCAAGTTGTTTCTATAAAATCCTGAGAATTTCTCAAAATGGTGTTATCAACTAAAACAAATATTTTTCAATATAACAACTTGCGTATGTTTAGCTCAGGATGCAATAGTTGATATGAACAATGAGATTATAAAGTAAACAAATCGAAAACACATACTGGCTTTACTATCAGAAGCATTCAACTGAAATCAATTTTTATTTCAGATTTTGCTTTAAAACAGTGAAAAAAATCCCTTCAGTTTATGCAAGAATTTCAATTATTCGTATGAAAGTAACAACAAAAAAAACTAGCTCACTTGAATAATAAAATTAACTTAATGCGTCCCTGGTGTGCACACAATTGCGTCATTAAGTATTAAGTTAATTATGTATTATCTGTTTACTTGTTTTTAATCATTTAAATCATCAGAAGTAATTTTTCATTTAGTTGTTAAAAGTGATACCTAATACATACCAGCAAAATTAAAATACATCGTTATTTTTCTAGCCCATAATAGGTACTGTAAAATATTTTGTTAAATGACTTTTTTATCTATATAAATAATAAAAGGTAAATCCTTATATTTATTTGTTTACATACTTACATATACATATTGACCTATTTTTCTTGAGTTTTTTTTATTTGTATTTTAATGATTTAGATTAAAGATATTTAAGGTTACGTACTAGTTTTGTAAAACCAATTATAAGGGTTTTTAATACAATCCAGAACAATATATGTGTATTGTAAGTACGTGCAATACAATTTAATTTAATTTAATTAAACGGTTAATTAAAGTGGATTTTCATTTGTTTGATTAAATTTTTTCTACTTTTTGTAACATGAGTATTGAAAGCTAATTATGATTTTTAATCACTTAACGTACGTTAGTACTGTTTGTATGTAACGCCAAGGATAATTAGTGCGTTCTTTGTGGTGAAAAATATGTGTTCAATTTTGTAATGACATTCGGAATATAAGGCAGAATTTATTAACTTTCTTATTTGGACGGGGTTGTGTAAGAAAACCGTCTGACAACTGGATAACTGGATTTATTTGTATCTATAATGCACCGTTGATTACAGATTACAGAAAATTAACGTTTTATTATTTATTTATTACATAAAGGTGCATATGATAATATGAAATTATACATGGAAATTAATTTCAGAGAAAGTAGATTAACATTTCGGTAATAACAAACAAACTAGGACATAATTATGTAAATATTTATGTGGTCCGATGGTTATATAATAAAAATTGACCAAGAAACATTCAAGAAAACTTTTAATGTTTTTTAATGTATGTAGTTAGCATTGATACATCTGTTCATATAATAATAATCATCATCATCATAGGATCGTGAATCCTAAGACTGGTTGGACACGCACCTCCACTCTTTCCTATCCTGAGCTAATCTTCGCATTTCCTAGAAACTAGAACATCCCACATCCTGAAATATTTGTATATATACTAAGATTAGTGAATGATGATTTTCTGTTTTTTGATAAAAAAAAAATTATCTGGGATATTTCAGGATAATGTTGCTTTATGATCTCGAAAACTTAAGATTACAATCTGTCACATGAGATTGTAAACTCTAAAGTTTGTGAAGATCGGTATTTACAATTTTACGGTGACATATATACAATTTTAGTAGTAGGTACCATATTTTTTGGGGGACCCAAAATCCAGATCTTGTTCTGGGCGCCCATAAGCTTAGCTACGAAACTGTTTATCATTGCAATTTCTTTTACTTGTGATTTTTACGCTATGTTCAGTTATTATCATGCTAATAAAAATAGCATTAAATGCAATTCATGCAGTTAATACGCCTTATTATTGTATAACCAAAACACAAGCATATTGGTAATAATTTGTTGCAGTACTTTGTAATAAGTTCGAGTCGATTTGTTTTTTAGGTATATATTATAATTGAAAAATAGAGAAAAATAAATTGGTTGGTTACCTTCATTATAATGATTTTATGAAAATTTTACTGTTCTAATTGATTAAATGGTATAGTTTGCGTTTGTTTTCTTGCTTAATGCATGTAATTGGATTACATTACTTGACATATCTTTGGTGTATACTTTATGGCGTTACAGTGGATTTCGGGTATAACGAAAACGAAGGGACCACTGTAATTTCGTCGTTATATCCAGAAGTCGTTACAGGCAAAGCTAAAGAAGATACAGAAACACGCAGTTTTTCCATTTTGAAACAATTTTCGCCATTTTTTAACAGTAAATGTACATCTGGAAGTCACACTTATTAAAAAGTTTACTAAACACAATTCCTACTCAGAAACAACGGTAAAGGTCACCACACTTGTTGACTATTTGTGTGAATGTAAATAAAAGATAAGAAAGCTCTTTATGTCTTTAGCGGCCGACTCTGGTCTCTATATCTACATGGGATTACTAGGGATTTGTTACAAACGATTCATTAAAAAACAGTCGCTACGCCCGAACTCGGCGTTACATCCGAAGTCACTATAGTCACATGAATTTTATACTAAAGTATGCTTTAAATTCAAGGGACTTACATATGACGTCGCTATAGCACAGTGGCCGCTATAACCAAGGTCGTAATAAACGAAATCCACTGTATATGTATTCTTCTGTATGTGACTTCATTTTTCGACTGTTAGATAGTAGGTGAAGTACTTAGGCCAGCTTCTGTTTTGGAATTTTATTTCAAAACTATTGACATAATCGTTATTCATTGAAAACTAGTCGAGTAGCAAGCACCAAAGTATTACTTATTTAATGATACATAAATAATTCATTTACGATAAGAGATTGTATCGTTTTGATATTGACGTATCATCTTGAGTTTAATGCTCTAATTTTCCAACTGTTTGGTGTATATTTAGTATCTCGAACACGAGATCGTCACATGTGCGTTTATAGTTTGTACAATACAATGTTCCGTTATATATAATATATTTTTGGATAGAAAAAATAAAGGAAATTTTTAAGCGCGTAATTTCTATTTAAGAAAAGACGAATCTCGTAGTTGGAAATTTAATATTCATCTTTAACTTTTTGTTGTAGAACTAATTTTGCAAACAATGCATTAAAATAAAACATAAATATTACAATTTAGAAATTTATAGTAAACATTTCTCTAATATGTTTATGTAAACAAATTGAGAAAATTATTCTTGGCTTCGTTCTTGGAAAATATTATTACAGTAATATCTTAAAAATGTGAAATGGAAATTTGAATGATTTATGATCTTATGAAAGGCTTGCATTATGTGTTGGTATCACAAAAAGGCAGAGCAATCTTGATTGTATATTTTGTAAGCTTGGATTGCTTGTTACTTTGTCATTACCATAAAAAATATTTCAATGCATTTCTGTAAGTGAAATGCAATTAAATTATTAGGTTTGTTATTGTCCTTTAGTTTTTGTTTGTTATCGTACGTTTCTTATAAATTCATTACGTATTTGTGGTTACCTTTGGAAAACACATTTTAATCACAACTAGGATCAAGTATCAAAATGTGGTTTTTATACCTAACAATTATTCAGATTAGTTAATTATTTTTTGACTTATAACTCAATATTTACTGATAAGAAAAATAAAAATAAGTATAATTATTCAGATAAGTTCATTACTTGTCGACTTATAGTGATAAGATTGAAAAACCGCCTTTGAACAAAAAAAGAAATGAAAAATGTAGACGGCTGTAATCTATTCAGTGTCTTGATTGAAACATATCACATTAAAAAAAAAAAGAATTCGTAATAATTGAAGATATTACAGACAACTTTTTGTTACTTTTTACAATACCTGCTTTTGAAGCACACTTCAGTTGATATTCTAAATAAGGATCTAAAAGTGTTTGTGAAAAGAGTTGTATAACAGTTCAAGTTCACCTTCAAACTTGTCCTGAAAGTCTCGAAGAGAACTCTATATTTACCGCGAACCTTTTGTGTTTTTATTCAACTCAATGTGGGTACAATGAGAAAATCAATACCCTTTAAAAGGACTAGCTAACCTAGCGCTTATGTAACAATTTTTCGATGGAATTCAAATTTTTATTTTCGTGAAC